TGCGTGTTTGTGTGTGTGTGTGTGTGTGTGTGTGTGTGTGTGTGTGTGTGTGTGTGTGTAGAGGCCAGAGGTTAACATTAGGCGTCTTCCGTCATCACCCCCTCATGTTGAGATTGCAGACGTGCAATGCCACGCCTGGCTTTCTTTCTTTTTTTATGTTTATTTATTCACTGAGTGTGCCTAGGTGTGTATGCACAACCATGCCACTGTGTGGGGGTGAAGGTGAGAAGACACCGTTTAGGAGTCCGTTCTCTCCTCCCACCCACACCTGTTTAGGGGCCTAACTCAGGTTGTCAGGCTCGGTGGCACTTGTCTTTACCCATGAAATCGCCTTGTGGCCCCGCACCAGCTTTCCATGAGGGCGCTGGGCATCCGAACCCGGGTCCTCATGCTTGTGCGGTGAAATGCCACTGCCAGAGCCGTCACTCCAGCCTCAGGGTGGGCTTTGAGACAGGCGCAGAGTTGCCTTTCTTCCCAGTGCACTCCCTTGGGTTGAGATGTGTGTGTGTGTGAATGCAGACTGAACTCCGACTATGTGCCATTAACAGAAACCACCCCCGGGGTAGGATGAGCTGCGTGTTTTACGGCAGGGAATGAGTTCAGGGAAGTCACACACAGCTATACAACGCAATCAGCTATCCACAGCCTCAAAGCCACTGTGACCCAGGTGGTCTCTTAGAGTTCACACCAGCTCTCCTGGCCTTGTTCCATGTGATGGACGGCTCGGGACAGGGATCTCCCGAGATGTTTTGTCCTGACACGTTACTGAACGCATACCGGGGCTTTGGGGTTTTGACATTCTGTTCAAAGCAAGGCTGGAGAGGGTGTCCTTGCTGATGTATGCCGGTGTGCAGGTACCAACACATTCATTACCCGGCGGCCCCGCATAAGCCCCTTAACACCCACCAGCTCCTACCTGGGCCCAGAGCCTGGAATGAGTCTCAGTGGGGACCTCGATCTCCCACGTGGCCCCCAATCTGGCTTGTCTGGAGCCTGCCCTGAGCTCACAAAGGAACAGAGAATTGCAGCTTCCTGGTTCAGCTCTGCCCCTGGGTAGGTATGGTGACCCTGTCGTTTACAGTTCAGCTGCCAAGAGGTGCAGCCAATTCAAGGTAAACAAGGGAACCCATAAAACAAGACCGTGGCTGCCTGCTCTCACGACAGCTAGCAGGGGCCCGTGGGGGAGGGGACAGGTAAAGGACCCCTGTCTTACTCCGTACCCCATCTGAGGCCTTTTAAGGAAGCACATGGTGCTGTGATTCCTGCTAACCCTGAAGAAGGCGCTAGCTATTTCCTTCCTTCCCCCGTGGGTCTCCGTACCTTACTTAGCTTGCTCCAAATCATAGGGCTGATTATAAGAGTGTGGTCCCAGAGCTCTGCTCTCGCCTTTTCTGTCCACTTCGGTGGCCTCCTTCTCTGCCTTACAACACCCTCCATCTCCTTCCATCACTTAAATTCTCAGGTTTTGGAGCTGGTGGCAGAGACCAGGCCGCACCCCAGCCTCAGATTGCCCGGAGATCCTTGTCCCTGCCTATGAAAGCCTCTCTTGTCACAGCAGAAACTCTCCCTCTGCCCCAGGGCCCCCTGGAATGTGACTGTGGGGTGGGGTGTGGGCCCACACAGGTGTGGCAGGTGACTGGGTCACCAGCACAGGAGGACACAGGTTGGGGTGTGGGATGAAGCCTTTCTTTGTGTGTGCACAGGGTGGAAAGGCTTTGCTGTTTCAGCCTCGAATCTGTTTATGGGGAGATCTGGAGTTGACCATAGATAGAGCTGGGTCTTTCCATCATGGCTCTCATCATGGCCACTCCAGTTTATGACACATTTTCCATCAGCCACCTTGCTCTGTCTATGCATCTGTCTATGTAGGAAGTTATTTTCATTTCCCTGACATAGATTAAAGTTCAGAAAGAGACCAAATCATTACCCAGAGCCATATACTTGGGAAAAATGGAAAGGTGGGCCCCTGAGGTCAGAGGTTGTGTGCTCTATCCCTGGAACATCGTGGTCTCGGGGGCAGGGGAGCTGTGAATGGGAGCTAAGGCTTAGGCGGCTTCCTTCCTCATATGCATCTGAGCACTCACTGTGGTGCGGAGGCTGGGTCCCCACAACCCATTCTGAACCATGATCCAGGCTCAGAGAGGCCAAGTCATACCTGAGATAGACCCTGGTGGGCAGCATGGCCTCATCTCAAGGAGAGAGGGCCTGTTCCAGAGACACCTACCTGTGTGGCTACCGTGGGCAAAGGCCAGAAACAGGCACATATCTATCCAGCCTGCTGATGAAGATGTTCCAAACCTCACTCACAGTAGCTGTTTGGACTGAGATCAGGGCCTTCCTTCCTTCCTTCCTTCCTTCCTTCCTTCCTTCCTTCCTTCCTTCCTTCCTTCCTTCCTTCCTTCCTCCCTCCCTCCCTCCCTCCCTCCCT